TCTGATCGTTCCCTAGGCAGCATCGCTCTCCCCCACCCTGATCTTCCAAGGCCATCCCCACATTCCATTACAGGTACATTGCCACCAACATTTTTCATTATAACTGAATGGGTCTGGAAGCCAATATAGGACAGTATAAAGTGAGCAAGGATTAGTCAAACCTCTGCACAGCCCAATTTTTCACTTACTGTTCTTTTCCATTTAGTGCTTCTTAGCCATGAAGTTAATCTATAACCATGTCCATTTTGTAGTGTGAAACAACAGACTGGAAATTCTTTTAAAAGGAGAGGTACAATTTTTCAGTTCCAACACTAACACTATATTTACATTTTTGAAACATATTTAGTAAGGCTTTTTTAAATGTTAACATGTGGTTTGAAAAGTACAACTGAGTTAAAGTTCTCATAAGAACTTTCAGCTTTATGAAGGCAGAAGTGAAACGTTGGTACTGATTCAGGGGAAATCCTTTAAAATATCTGTGAGGGCTTCCTATTAATCATAGTAGTGCTTATCTTTTAAAAACTTCTTTAGTGTTATTGAAATTGTGCTGTAATTGTTTAATTTAGTAACGCTTAGAATGATTATGCATTTTGGCAGAAGGATGAAAGCTCTGTTAGTATACCTATTAGGTTGGCATTGGGTACAGGAATATCCTGAAAAAAAAATGAATGAGCATAAGAATCGGATCAGACCAAAGGCCCAGTAGTCAATTATGTTTCACGCAGTAATCAGTCATATATTTTATATTATAAGAACTCTCTTCTCTGAAGTATTCAGTTGTTCTTCATGCAGTTATAAACATGTGAAGAAAAGAAATTAGTCCATACCTCTTGATCTTTGCTGTCATCCACTTCCTTACTGTCCACATATTGAAAGTATCTAATGGAGAAGTCTGTTGTACCAAAATTCTTGCTATGATCACAAATGTTTTTAAAATCGGTCATTCCCTGGATAATGAAAGAGATAAGATGTTACCCCAGACTCTTTTCATGTAACAACAATCACATAGATAATGACAATGGAATAGAGCTTATACAATATACTATCAAATATCTTTGCTTGACTACAGTTGGCCACAGATTTCCCACCATCTGTAAGTGGATTATAGTCATTGGCAGATTCTGTTTCAGCTTGCTAATGGAACAGAGTATATCTGTGAATATCATCAGTTATGAACCCGTGCTTGAATTTTTAGAAGGTGATTCTTTGGATGGCAAAATGGTCTAAAACTTACTCTATTCTGCAGCAGCCAATCAGCATTTCCAGAATGGCTTTATGGTTGTGTTTTATTTATAATGCCATTTTTTTTCCTGTGTACAGGCAATAATAAATAGTACCATCACTCCCAACATGACATTCACAAAAACATCACAGAAGTTTGGTCAGTGGGCAGATAGCAGAGCAAATACTGTTTATGGCTTGGGATTTTCCTCTGAGCATCATCTCTCAAAGGTAGGTATTTCCACCCAGCTATGCGATTGCCTGGAGCTATGAAGGAATAGGACAGGGTTACAAAAAATGAAGATAACGTTTCATAATACTCTTGAAAAGTTATGCAGTTTATTTTTGAAAATATGTTATTGGTCAAACAAAGACTTCTTAAGTAAACCTTGACGTTGCCGTGTCTTTTTCCTCCAATTCATATAAGCAAAAGTGAATTATTGGTTTGGGAATAATAATTCCATACATTTCTCTGATATATCCTTCTCAACTTTTTAAAAAATATTGTTTCCTGACTGTGTTCCAAAGGCTGAACTTAATCTAAAATATTACTAAAATTGCTAAAACAAACAACCATATATAAAGTGATCTTTGGCTATTAACATCCCAGATTAAATTTAGTGTTCTTAAAGTCTTCTGAGCTTTTTGTTCGGATCTAGGCTGTTTTCCTGTGTGTGCATATTTTTATGCTTGACATTTCAGAGTTTTGGATAGCCATTTGTTGTGTTTGTGTAGATGAGAGCACCATCACATCTTATTAGCATGATGATATGTTAATTTGGAGAAATTGGCCTTGTGTGTGTGGAACTGATGTTTTTACAAAGTTTTATAAACCAAAGCCTTGTTTCTTTGTATCACTGTATTCATGGGGTCTGAAGTTTTGTGAACCTGCTTCAGTCACTTGCTTTATTCAATTGTTTGTCATGAATGGGCAGAACATAAAAATCAAAACTCAATGAAGAGATCAGATTAACTTGGGACTAATGTTATCCTTCTTCAATTCTCCATATAATCTTGCTCAGATAGTTTGTAGGCACTTTCAAGCACATATGGAATCACAGGTATAAAGCTATTCCCTGAGAAAAAGTATACTTAAATATCCAGATGAGTATTTGCCTGGTTTCATTTCACAAACTCTCGTGTACAGAGCAAAATGGTGGTGGAGAGATGATTTTAGTTGTATTTGCAAGAGAGTTTATAAGAAGCACTTACTAAGTTAGAATTCAAAGCCATAGCTCACCCTCCAATTATAGTATGTTTTACAATTATAATCCAAGATCTAGAAACATAGGAAGCAATTTATAGTAGATCAAACTTCTTGTCTACTGTAAAAGAATTATGATTGGCAATTTTAATTTTTCCTGATGGATTTGGTTTGTTTCAACTGTCTTTCAGTTAGTATTTCCATAATGATCATTTGCTGCTGGTTCAGATCGTAACAGCAGTTACAGTACTGTATATGAACCTGGGGGAGGCAGTTGCCTTGCTGTTTATTGTTTTATGTTTGTTTTTATTTAACTGCATTTGCCATTTTATTACACACTGTCACACTTTTGAGAGACCCTTTCAAAGTGCTTTGCTGTTTTACATCCTAATCATCTATGAACAACTTAAAAAGCATTAGCCCCATTACCGATTCTAAGTGGATCCAATTATTTCCACACCTCCACTCTGAAAACTAATTACTTTTACTGTTTATTTTAAATCTTTAATCAGATAATGTTGTTGACCCATAGAATCTGTAACCAGTTAATGATCCACATTGATCTCTCTTTATCCCCTGATTGCTAAGTTTGTTCAGGAGCATTTGGTGAGGAACTTTGTCGAAAACTTTTTATAAGACTGACCATATTCTTGTTCACATTATCAAAGAACTCTAAAGGATTAGTGAAATAGAATTTAAATTTGAAGAGGCCATGCTGATTTTTTTTTCAGCAGTTTTGTTTTTTAATAATATTATTCAACAATTTATCAAGAGCTGCTGTTGAACAAACTGGTCTGTAATTTAAGCAAAGACAGGCAGAAATAATTGATTCAGCTTTTCCTGTAATCATCTAATTAATCTTTGGTACTCCCTACTTTCCCTTATTATTCAGTGGCCCAACTGCATCTTTTATTGTTTCCTTCTTTTAAAGCATTTAAAGAGTTTTAATTGTTGCTCTTAATGTGAATAGAAAGATGTCCCTCAATTCTTTTGGCATTCCTTATCTGATTGCTTTGGTTTTGTAGAAGTTTGTGTTCCATTTGAACTCCTCTGTTCTTTGAAATAAGCTTTGTTTCCTTGAACAGCTTTCTTACCAGTACTTGTTATAATGTCTTAGACTAAAATTTACCTTTCTTGACTTGTAGTATATAACCTTACTGAGCTTTCTATTATAATTTGAATGACTCAAAACTTTGAGAAGATTTGTAATGGTATGTGGGAATGACCTAGGGAGACAGGAGGAAGACCTGTTGCCTAGGCTGCAGGTCTTCCTCTTGTCTCCCAAGGTCATTACAAGATTTGATCCTTCTGATATTTTCTTTCAACTTTTAGTTAATTTTGGAAAAGAATATGCTTTTCCAAAATTTTGAAATTGAATATGCTTCTTTGGAGTCCTTGTTTCTCTTAATAAGTATATACATTAAATTTGTTACAATGGTGGTCCAAATCTCCAGTCCATTCAATTAGACTCCCATTTTGTACTAGATCCTAAGTGTATCTATTAATATAATGGGGTCATCATTGGCTCCCTGATTTTATTCTCCATCTCAAAGTATACTTGAGAAGTTTACTATGAACATTTTGATCAGAACTTACTTATGGGAGCCATTATTATTTATCCACACCAGTTATGTAGAGGAGTTTGTCTTTTTGAAATTTCTAATTAGTTTGAACTTTATGTCTTCTTTAACCACCCTGCATTTACTATTTTTTACTATTATTCTAGAGCTTGCATTCAGATAACCAGGTTTCTATTGTATCTACTGAAGGGCATTATTTTGATACACAATTTTATATTCTATATATATACAGTATATATATGCTTCACATAATGTATAACCATATCTGTAACAGTGCACTCTATTTCTAAAGGGTTAACTTGCTTTTGCTTT